TATGTTAGATGTACCTACCAAGTGGAATTCAACTTATTTGATGATGGATAGTGCGCTTAAGTTTGAGAAAGTATTTGATCGTATGACAGAGGGAGATGGTTTTTATTGCTAATATTTTGATGAGCGTGAGAATGGGAAAGAAAGAGAAGGTCCACCTACAAGCGATGATTGGGAAAAAGGTAGGAAGTTTGTTAAGTTTTTGAAAACCATTTAAGAAGTCACTTTAAAGTTTAGTGCATCTTTGAGTGTGACCTCGAATTTATACTTTAAAGAAGTTTGTCATATTCAACAATTGTTGAAAATGTTGAGTGATAGGCAAGATCCTTTATTAAGTGATATGACAAAAAATGTGAAGAGTAAATTTGATAAGTATTTGGGCAGTGTTAAGAAAATGAACAAAATATTGATAATAGCTATTGTGCTCAATCCTCGGTACAAGTTGGAGTTTGTCGGTTATTGTATTGGCCTCTTTTATGATAGTATCTTGGTTGAAACGAAAAAAGATGGAATCAAGAATTTATTATATGAGTTTTATAATCAGTATAAGGAATGGAATAGTGCATCCAATGACGAAAGTGATGGTATTTGTGATTTTAATGACATTTCAACGGAGGTTTCTGCAGATGATGATTGGGGTGAGTCCAATAATTTTGATTTTGGGTACAAAAAATTAAAAATTAACAATAATGATTTGCTAGGAGAAAACGAGATTCGAGAATACCTAATGGAACCCGTTGAAAACTCTACTAATCCAAGTTTTGATATTTTGATTTTGTGGAAGTTAAATTGTCCAAGATATGCAATTTTGCCCGAGATTGCAAGGGATGTACTTGCAATTCTAGCTTCTATGGTTGCTTCAAAGTCAGGATTCAGTACTAGAGGGCGTGTTCTTATTCATTTTGGAGTTCTTTAACACTTAAAACAGTTGAGGATTTAATTTGTATACAAAACTGGCACGTTCCACACTTTTGGGAGATTGATTATATGAAGTGGGCATTGAAGAGAGAGAGTTTCATGAAGAATTGGTCCAATTGGAAACCGGTAATTAGAATATATTTTTTTCTTGCTTATTATATTATATATTTATTTTTGTTTATGCTTCTTTTAATTGAGATTTTGTAATTTTCAATATAATGTAGAGCTTGTTAGCAAAACTTATAAAATGGATGATTCAATAGTTGTGGAACTTGACTGATGATCTAATTGTAAGTATAGTCAAAATTATATTTTATATGTAATTTCTCACGTGTAATTTTTTTGTTCAATATTTTAACTTAACTTTTGTGGTCTAGAATCAATGCAAGGGGTGGACTGACTCTTTGAAAGGATTGATGAATATACTTGGAGAAGACTAAGTTTAATTTTGTTATGGTAGATTGTTAATTTTATTGCAATATGGGATTTAGACATTTTATTGTTAACTTATTGTTTTAAATTTAGGCTCCATGTTACATTGTTCACTTGGAAATTTGCAATTTGAAAGCAATTTTAGTGAGAATTTGCAACTTCAAAGTAGACTTAATTGGAGTTCTATTAATGGTTTGTAGAATTATGTTTTTGATAATGTTGATAAATATGTGGCTTAAACCACTTGACAAGTGCACGTGACCTCATGTAATAGACGGCAACATTTTTTGAAGTTTTGATTGGCGAACACTTTATTTACATATTTTCAACGTGCTGAAGTGGACCGGACCAAACTAGTTAGTCCGGGCTCCCTACTTAGATGCGGAACTAATAGTTCCATTACTAAGATTCCTACTGATACTTGGTTCGGTTATGTTCTTTTTAGAACGGGGCCAAACCTTATCACCTCCACTCCTAAGAACAATGATCAAATTGAATTTTATTCAACAGAAAATACCACAATTTCATACACTAGATACAATTTAAATCATATTCTAGTTCCTATAAATTAGCTCTGACGTTTATAAATTGTAACGAAGTAATTATATTAATATTAAATATTTGCTTTCCTATTTCACTTGATTGTCTTCAACACAAATCGATCATTTTTAGAACATTAATAAAATTCATACGTAAATATTTAGGGTCAACATCGTGCTTAATTCTTTTTATTGCAAGAGTCTGCAAATACTTGACTAAAGTTACTTGAAGTTGCAATTATTACAAAATAAATATTACCCCATCAGGTTGTGAACTATACTTACAAAAGAGATTAAGCCCTTGAGTTAATTGTTTCAATAATCACCCAATTTATAGCATGGTCGTATATGCTCACTAAACTTTGTCCGTATGCACTATATTCATCACCTTTAAAAATTTGTTACCTTATTCGCAGACGTTGTTAATGGAAATCCAATGTTGCAAGTTACGATAAAAAAAAAAAAACCTTACAACTCAACCATATAATTGTTTCATAACTCATCCAATTTACACTTGGGAACAATTAATTCATCGAACTTCAAAATACTTCTCAATGATCACTCATATTTGAGATGTTGCACTTCATTCATCATATGCCGTATTTTGTTCACTTCGTTGCTAATTTATTTTATGAAAATTCCACAGATAAGTTACAATCATCAAAAAAATTACAATTTAGCCAAACTATCAACTCACAAAAATTACCATGTGTGAAACGTGACTTCCACGCCCCCCATAAATTTCTTTAAAACACAATTAAGTGTCCCCAATTTCAAACCTAAAAATACCCTAGTGATAAGAGCATAAGCGTTTAAATTAGAGTATTTGTTGGATATTTTAGTGAATTATGACTTAATTCTATGTATATTGTGTTTGATAGGTAGATATTGGTGAAATTGATGAAATTGGAGACAATGAACGAGAAAATGGAGAAATTGCAAGAAATATAAAGTTCAAGGGATCAAAATTCAAGTATCAAATAGTTGATTCGAAATATGAAACGATGATTGAAGATCACATATGATCAATTGGATACAATTAAAAGTTAAAGTGGTGAAACTTATTTTTCACACAGTAAACATTTGAATAAGAAAAATGATATTTCTAAAAGAATCATTAGGGATGCTTTATTGGTTTGAAGAAATTTATGGAGTTGTGGAAGTCACGTTTCATATATAATGATTTTGGTGAGTTGACAGTTCTGTTGAGTTGTAATTTTTTTAACATTTGTAATTTACCACATGAAATTTTTTTGCGAACATTAGCAATGAAGGGAACGAAATATGGAGGATGATGAATGGAGTGCAACAT